TATATATATATATATATTTTAATCACTGTAAACATTTAGTCTGTAGTCTTAAATTTGTATCTAATTAAGTATTTTTCAGTAATCTAACATAAGATATATTTTTTATCCATAATACATAGTTTTTGTTACATTATACAAATTAATAATACAATATATTAATATAGGTATTTTCAATGAATATAAATTAAGTTAATGTTACCTAGTAAAATGTATTATGTAATATTGTTTTGATTTTAATAAATAAATAAAAAAATAAAAACATTATAATTAATCATTACCTCATCATCACCACTGAAATCGATAGTGTCAATTCCACTTATACTTGTGTTTTCTTTTTCATTTAGAAATGTTAGGTATTCAAAATACCATAAAGATGGCACATAAATATCTTTTAGACCAGCACCAGTTCTTTTACTATCTTGTACCTGCAAGTTAAATTATAAATAATAATGTGCAATTTATACTATAATAGGATATTTTAGTGGTTTGTATTAAATAGCTATATATTTTTGTGTGTGTATATAATTATAATTTTTTTTTAGTCAGTTTTTATGTCTTTTCTATGACATAATTTAAATTCATTAAAATATAATTATTTCTTATATAAATAATTGAGTTTTCATTTATTTATATTAATCATTAATTTTCTTATTTAAAAAGTATTAACCTAAGACAATTTTTATTTTTAATAATAATAAATAATGAATATTAAAATTACCTACTTTTAAAAATAATTAATTTGTTTACCTTTTTAAATTCTCTTTTGTATGCAGCTCTCATATTCTCAATTTTCTTTTTTACAGTTGAGATACTAGCGTCATTGTCTATTATTTTTAATTTTTCTTTTAATAACTCAAGCGCCTGGTTTTTTGCATACCTGTTGCTGTACTGCTTACAAGTAATATCCCATAAACAAGTAAACGATTTGTACATTTCTAAAAAATCCAAAATCACTTCTCGTTCTATTAAAACAGCAGTCATTGTAAAATGTAAAAACACTTTAACGTCTTAACTGGAAGTACACATGGAGATACACACGTGTTATCACTTTAACCTCCATACACCAACTAAAATCCGCCCGACAGACGACAGTGCTACACACTATATGATTTGATCGATTGGTCGGGCGATCAGATGGTATGGCCACCCGACAAGACCCGATAGGACTAAAGTCAGACGACACTTCTACACACGACCTGATATTACGTCTGATCTGACCAAATTATCCTGTCGGCCCGACCAAATCAGGTAATGTGTAACGCGCTTAATGTTTTAGATAATATCGAATTTGTTTATCTATTTATAAAAAATGAATATGTCCGGATGTATTATTTTGTCGAAAAACTATTTTTAATCACTGATGATACGTCAATACGTCGATCCGTCGATACTGTCTTCATAATAATATTAGTATTGATAAGATTTTAATAATTATAATCATTTGTATGACAATCGTGAAATAATAATATTGACGTATTGTAGTCGCGTGTACAGTCTTATGACTTGTGAGACTGAGTTTCTTATTTTATTTTAATTGATTAATATACTCTATTCCATCTAAGAGTGAACCACTCGGCTGACCAAAACTCGTCTTGTTCACGCATTCCCACCACAAGACGGGCGCCGCCGCGAACGTTGGTGAGGGCCGTCACTCTGATTGCACGGCGGTCGACAACTAACGACGACCGTCGATGACTGTCGACCAATGACAGAACGCCTAGCCGTCGCCAGGGGAGTCAGACAATGATCCGCGGCTCAGTCTGCGTGCGCGAAAGCGGTTCACTCTTAGGTGGAATAGAGTATAGTCAAACAATAAATTAGTTAAAAATTTAAATAATAACAATATTGTAATTATTATCATTAATTCCGGGCATTCTAGCAATAGAGCTAAAAAGATGTTGTTGCTTACACAGTACCAAGAACCAATTAAAGAACATAACGAAGGTAAGTCAATTTATTATTTTGATTGTATTAATATTATATCTGTAATGAAAATCAAATTTGAAATAATTATAATATAATATAGTGATGTACCTATTATAATTAATACAATAACATTATACATCAGTTCGGTTTCGAACACCGTCGAGTGCGCACGTATCACGTAATTACGCTCCGTATCAGTGTAGGGTCGGCGTCATGGACTAAGAACCCAAATACTACAATAGGTACGGTACACAAATTCCAACTCGTTCTGCCAAACAAATGTCCATAGTCTACGACATTAACGGTAGAATTATTCCTTTCCAAAATGTGGTACCGGTTGACCAAATCGCTCACGTACACGGCAAACGCAATTTATCTTCTTCGTCCACTTCCCCCGGGCCCGTGGACAAGAAGTCTAAACCATTTGTTTCCCCGAATCGGTTCGAGGTTCTACAAAGCGACGATGATTCAAGTGAGTGTGCATTTCCTCCACCTAATGATCATACTGTAGTCCGTGAGACTCAGTCTTCTACCGTTA